CACGTCATGTACACATGTAATAAAGTGATACCCGGACGTGTTTATTTTGGGTTTTTTCACAGCCAGTGTTTTATTTCATGCATAGTCAATTCTGGTGCAATAAGATGGTTCCTGGATATCGATGCCATCGTCTTTTTGTTGGTCTCAACACACAATGTACATGAATAATTCAGCAAACTTTTTATTCATTGCATCGTTATGAACATAACATTTTGAGGTAGTAAAACTACATGTATTTCCGCACAAAAACAAATATAATTCAATTTGCAATGTTTTTTCATATGTCTACAAACCAAGGCGATATGAATAGAATATGATATGTTATACCTTTACCAAGTTGTTTAAAGGAGAACATATTTAGGTTGAATATTATAATAAGTTTATACACAAAGGTCATTAACTTATACCAGACTTCCATAGTTGTGTTTGTCTGTCCCTGCTTTGATAATCAACTTCAATGAAATTTAGAAAATCAGAAAATGAAATCATTAACACTGATGAGGAATATTTTACAAAAAGCTTAGTATTGGTGAGGATAACAGTCACTGGGTTATGATTCAAAGTCTGGAACAAATACTGAAACTGAAGCTAAGATGAACTATGGTCCAAATTTGAATAGTCTAGCACTTAAGACTTTTAGGGAAACCAAGCTAAACAGCACTGGAAAATTTGTATAAGTCCGACCTTCATTATATCAATCGCAGGTGAGCCACAAACAATATCAACCATATAAGATTATAAATATGATAGCCTTAATTAATAAAGTGACATATTTTTTTTACTTCACAGCAAATGTGAGGATATAAAAGCTCTCATGCCAAACATACAACAAGAACTAACACACCAGCAGACCTGTCAAGGTTTTGTAAACTAAAATGCAGATGATTGATGAAAATGCTGGTCATAGCAAGATTAACACATATCAATGCACTAAAGCACATTTTTGGAAGGAAAAAACACCTTTGGTTTTAAGCAAAAATTTGAATATTTCATGATAAGATTTTGTTCACAAATAATACAGTTTAATCAACATAAATGGCCAGTTTTATAACATTTTATTTGCCAATATTTTTTCAGGTTGGGTATGTTATGAAATCGTTGACAGCATGTTGTGTTGTAAACATGGCTACGAAGCTAGACAGCACATTGATAGTCTTTACCTAAGTAACTTCACTTTAGTGTCCATCTAGGTAGTAATTGGCCAGCTTGATTTGACAGCTTAACTGTCTACTATTGTTTATCTAATATCTGAAACCTCAATAAAATGCAATTGGTGGCCAATATCACAACAGTCACACTTTCTAGATTGGCAAATCAAACAAAGTTCCCCTGCAGAACATATTCCGCCAAAATCCTGTTGATGCCTTCTTTTTGTTGGAGTATCTGCAAAAGTGTCTAAAAAAAAAGAACAAACTTCCAATAAAGATGGATTCTTTAAGAAACAATCAACACATCTGCATTGGGTGGAATATTGACCAATCAAAATCCTTTCAAACATACAACTAAACTCTATGTCTCTTGGCAGTCTTTTTATTTTTGAGTGAACTTTGTGATGGATGCATAGACACACAGGATCATGGACACACTGACAAAGCATTTATATTCTCCCTCCCCCCTTACAAAAAGGGGGTATAGTAAGCTCTAAGAATAAAGTCATCCTCTTAAATTTATAGTTATACTGCACTTGATCTTGATGTTGACCAACAATTACGAATGGAGTAAAACCGATTCCACATATCATGGTTCTGAGCACCTGCATGCAGTGTCATCAAAACTTGTAGCTTACAATCAGTTGCTGTGTCAAGAGATTTGCAGTAATATTTGGCAGAGGCAGGGGTAATACCTATAAATGCAAAACCCTTTAATATCAACTTCACAACTCACCTCTGGCATGAAGATTTCAATAGCATCAGATGGGTCAACATTAAGTTTCTGTAGCTCAACCGATATGTCCACCATCTGAAAGATAAAACAGAGAAACTGATTTTTTTTTATCATGAATGGGCAGAGACACTTATTTTTCATATCAATACCAGATACATGTAATACTTTCTCTGCGGGCAAGCAACTACAGGTATTGTGCGAGATTCATGCACATTTACACATGAGTGGGAACACTTACTAAAAATAGTAAATTCAACTATTTTACAATTTCAGGATATTTAATTACCAAATCATCCTGAAATGGTCCAAATCGTCCAATTGCAAAACATTTCTTAAATCTTCTGTAGCCAGCATTTTTGTAGACATATCTACGCAGTGATGGAGAGTAATCTGCAACGACATTCTGAAATGAAATAAAGACCATACATCAAATTCAATAATCTAACAAGCATTCTGAAACTATGCATGCATGTTTTTGAGGTGTTCATAACCCTGTCAAAAGTGTAGTTAACCTCCAAAACTAAAGCTTTTATCTGATATATTACATGTACAGAGTATGCAGTGTGTCACATCTTAAAACAAGGTCTCTGTGACATGGATTTGACCTTTGACCTTAATCTCAAGTCTTTTTCTTCCGTTGTCGTCTGCCCAAATCTCTCCATGTTGTTGTGCTGTTGTCTCTCAATGTCACCGAAACGCTTAGATAAGAGGACGGCACCCACGCTAAAACAAAAGACGGTCGCTTGCGACAGCGTCTTACTAATTTTGCCTGGCGTAGGGGAAGCAACTCCTATCATTTTACGATACAATGTAGCGAATGGGAATTACGGTGAGCATTGTATCATTTTCAGAATATTCAGGTACCCGGTATCTGTTGTTTTAGTTTTGAAGCGGTGAGCAGNAGACAAACACGAACATATCGCAGCCTCCCAAAATACACACACATACACTACACGCATGCATCTTGCACACAGGGGAGGCCGTCCTTAAATGACCTTAGCTGTTAATAGGACGTTAAACAAAATCAAACAAACAAACAAACAAACCCGGTATCTGTTGTTTTAGTTTTGAAGCGGTGAGCAGTGGGCGGCCATATTGCCCTATAATGGAATCCTACTGCCATTATCCCAAATGCTGAACATTAATCGGGGAATAATAACTACCATTTTTAAGGACTTTGGTATGTCCCGGCCTGGGGACAAAACCAATTGCCTTTCTCATCTGGGCGAACGCTCAACATTAAAGTCAAAAGTGAGGTATTGCCAAGCAAGCCGCTATAAAATAAAAGGAAAATAGAAAAAGAAAGAAAGAGAAAGATTCCAAATTTTGCAATGGGTGCAGCAGATTTATTTTGGTCGCTTTTGTGTCCCCAAGTAGAAGGCACAAAAGCAAATCCTCAATTATGCAGGGGGTTCGCACATTAGTCGCCTCTTGCAATACATGATGTGGTTAACAGCAGGTGTATTCTTTTCTCGATCTCCGACCTGCAGGGGTGAGGAGGAGTAAAGAATATCATAATATAATCAATTTGAGTTTCATTTAAAACATCTGTTAAGTACTTTCATGTCAGAAGATTTGCAATAGTAACGTGGTGCTGGAGATGAAATAAAGGATATTGGAAAGCTTCCACAAGTTTTAACTAATACAGATGGACTAGGTCCATGGTATCATACCTGAAAATCATGGCGTTTATACCTGAAATGATTGATGATGGGCCTTTTCAATAAATCTGCCACCATATGAAGATGGAACATGGCTAAATAGAAAGAAAAAAAAACATAATTAGGCTATTGAAATTGAACAAAATCTGTGATCCGTTGTATTGAAGAAAGTGAAACACCACTAAATGTACACAAAAAAGTAAACTAGCATTACCTGGCAGTGACATGGTTGCACTGCTTCACTTTTAATACATGCAGATTCACAATGAGCAATACTTACCTGAGTGACCTTATGTTGCACCATTTAGTGGAAACACATATATGTCTATATGTCAAATGAAGAAAAGGTAAAGGCAGTACATCGTATTACAGGGTTTTCCCCCAGCTATTTTGGGAAAGGGCCCCTGAACAGGAATTGGGAAAATATCATTGGCAATTGACAAAATTTGGGAAATACAAGTTTGGAAAAACAAAAACCTGCATTGTGATTAGCAAAAGGTTTTTCCCTAGCTGTTTCTTACAGTAAGATGTATAGCAATAAACAAACATCAATTTTCAGTGTTTTTGTTTATTCAACTTCAAATTTTTCATTATTTATGCATGTTGAATGCTCCTGCAAGGATAGCAATACTTTGAATGTTGAACATATAATGAGTGAAACCTTATCTAAACATTCTTTTTAACCCATTGGGAAAAATAAGACTGAAATTGGGATAATGCAAGGTTATTTTTCAATTGGGAATGGGTCCCTGTAACAGACCCTATAAACACTTGGCAAAAACTCTGCATCAGGAGGTATTTTGACTGACCTAACCTAATGTGTGACCATCATTGCATGAGAATCAAACACATTTTACGAAAATAACTAGCTATAAATTATATCATTCAAGATTATTATCTTATATCTAGAAGTCAGTTGATTAACATTTCTTGAAAGAGAATGGTCTGCAGCACAAAACTTACAACAGTCTCTGTAAGGATTCCTTACTGTTTCTATGATTTCCTCCCTGCACACCTTTTCCACTATTTCCAAACTGCATAAGTCTTCTGAGGGGAGATTTCTACAAATCGAGGCAATCCACGCCAGGGTATTGTCTTGAAATTCCTCCACTATCTGTCAGAACAATCAAAATATAAGTTTCATTTATTAATATATTTTTTTAGATAACCATCAAACAATAATGTACTAATCAACTGTTATGTTAACATTTTGTAAATCAGTTATGGAACTACTAACCCAACCATTACTTTCCTTTTACAAATAGCTAAATGTCACTTACATGCCAGAATTCTTGTAGACCAATCAGTGAGTTTTACAATCATTTTAAGGGAATTGAGGTGAAAATAAGGGAGGTTTTATTCGCGGCAAAAAGACCATCTTACTCAGCTAAATTAATGAAATAAACAAGCACAAAATCTTTAAGTAAGGAACTTTTTTTGACTTTGGCAGGGTTTTTTGGTATATATTGTGTATGATATATACATTTAATAGCACAAAGTTAACAAAACAAAATACCACATAGTTAAGATATACTAAAGCAGAAAAATAAGGATAATAGTTGTCTATGTTCATTTACATTTGAACTTCTTGATAATGTAACAGAATGTTGAAACATGCAGAAATAATCAGCTATGAAAGTATAAAGAAAACTGTGTTCAGTATTTGAACTTTTAAATTACATATCTCAGCATTCAGAATAAAGACTATTTCCATCTTCTTCATGACATGCCCCTTATATATTTACCGGTCATTCTCTTTACTTTGATGCCATCACAGTATATATATATTTTGCTGCACACTTAATAAGCATGTCCCTGTAACCCACATCCAATTATAGGTAAGTAGGGGAATTATTATTGGAAGCCAATATCAACACATCTCTGTATACCACTCTCTTTACTCTGTATTCCACTCTATATATTTTCTGTATTCCACTTTTTATGTGCCCTGTATTTACTACTATTTATAATATGTATACATTCCTATGTAAAGACATTTCAATGATCTTTTATAATAAACAGGAGGCAGGGTTAGGGCCTGTCTATGGGGCAAATCCTGATAACATAAGTGTATCTAAATCCTCATGTTCAGCAATTGTATATATATGTATTAAACATAAACATGTATAGAATACCACGGACAGATTAAACACATGTATTCAGTACTATGGACAGATATTAAACTTGTATTTACTATCACACACAGGTATAATATATGCAATTGCTACAACAGACATGTGTAACACATGTATATACTGTCACAGACAGGCATTACACACGTATATACTACCACATACAGGTATAACACATGCATATAATACCAAATACAGGTATATCACAGGTATATCACATGTACATGTATATACTATCACAGACCGGTATAACACATGTATATACTATCACACACAGGTATTGCACATGTATACAATAGCACAGACATGTATAACACAGTCATGTATATTCTATCACAGACAGCTAGATATTACACATGTATATACTATCACACACATGTATTACACATGTATATACTACAACAGACATGTATGACACATATATATACTACCACATACATTGTACATGTATAACACATGTATATACTATTNAGAAAATGGTATAGGTATTATTTTAATTTCAATGAGAGGGTGAATATATCTCTGGGCTTCAACTATACTTTATAGTGCTTTACCTGGAATTGAGGATTATACACATTTTTAATGTTTTGCTACATGAATTATGTTGTTAAACAAATAGGTATATATCATATATATACCCTAGACCAAATAGTATTGCTAAATGTGCATCAAACAAATGATATGCTGGGACTGCTGGATCATGATGTGGAATTACTTTGAAAAGAACCTGAGGAGTTCCTTGAGTTAGCCTCAATGTTATTTTTTTGTCAGTTTCTATTATTTTGACAGTCTGACAGGTAGGTTAGATTTCTGATTAGATAAATATGTTTTACCATGAATTCATATATTTGAATACTTATAAAGTGCATGATGTTACCATGCATGTATCTCAGGCCTGTGCCTTTTTGGTCACACAAAGATGAATCTACACAACTAGAACCAATCTGATGATGAAATGTGTATCACTTGTCTATAATACATGGGATACAACTTTTTTCTGTGAAAGTAAATATATATATGTATGTTAACAGTCTGAAACAGTTAATAAAAGTTCCTCATAATGTATGTGAAAGTTAAGATAATTATAAGTTTATGACCAGTCTGAAGCAATCAATAATTTTTTCTTACATGTCTGTGATAGTTAACACAAGTTTATGACTAGCCTGAAACAATAATTAAAAATTGATAACCTTACTTGTGATAGTATAATAAAAGTTTTATAGCCAGTTTGAAACAAGTGATAAGTTTTCCTAACATGTCGGTGATAATAAATATAATTGTTATATGTATAATCATGCAGTTTTAAACAATGTTATTTTTCTGTTACATGTCTGTGAAAGTTAACACAAATTCATAATCAGTCTGAAGCAATGATTAAAAATTCATAACCTGTCTGTAATAATAAATACAGGTCTAATTATTGACACTGAAGGTGGCAATGTTCATGATCTGTGAAATTTGGTACTCCAAGATTCTTTACCACTAGGTCTAAATTAACATATGAGAGTCTTTGAAAAATTGGGACACAATCTAAACCAACTTACTTGGGGTGGGTGAGGGGAGGTTAACTAATTTGATTGGTTTGGAGGAACACTGAACAGTTGCACATATACTTTACCTGTTAACTCACAAAATACATGAGCACAGCCACAAACTGTAAACCAGGAATTTTTAACACATGATAATCAGCAGAGATCAATAAAATTTGCATACAACAAGTGATGTGAATGATAAATGTCGAATCTTTACCTCAAAATTGCTGTAAAATTATTACCCAGAAACTTGGAATAAACGACATACCTCAGGTAGACACATGCCAAAGAAACCAAGACTTCCTCAAAAACGAATACCCCCCCCGCAAATCAAACCAAACTAGAATTCTTCAACGAGGCTGTGTACGAAAAATAACATAAATCAAGATGAATTTTAAAATCTCAATTTATATTAGAAAATGTGGTGACTGATTATGACAATAATTCTGCGCTCTTACCGAGTTTGGCATCATTACACCTGCACTACGGGACCCTCACCATATAAATCCTCAGCAAACTACTTTCATTTGTCTCATTCATGTTAAAAATGACGTGCAACAGATTAACAAATGACAGTGATTCTCACCAATAAGAACTATTTCTGACCCTTTTACATTTTGGCCAACAAAAACCAATGGTCATTTGAATAATCAAATCCAGCAACTTCACAGACATTTCTCGAAGTTCCCAATGGCTCTTCGGAACACTAGAGTTTCGTTCGGTAAAGTTTATAACTCGGGATTATTCAAGCCATTTTAGTATATAGTAATGTGTGCTTCCTAATACCAATCTTTTAAAATATATGCGTTAATATAATAATCAATATTTAAATATATCAACTTAACTTATTGATAATATTTTATATTGGTGTTAATTACACTTGCGGTAGAAAAATACGAAACAGTTTGTGCAAAGCTAGTTTTTCACAGCTGCCGTTTGCCGGACTCAGAAAATGGCAGAGAGAATACCCGAGGAGGTATACGTACTTGATCAGGTTGATGTGGCAGAAGGGCACTATGCATTGGAAGCTCTCGAGACCTTCTTTAAGAAAGAGGATCCTGAATCTTGGGAAAGTATGACCTTACAGGTAGTATTCTGTAATCCATTAGGAGGATACTCTTTTTGCGAGGCTGTCCTGACTACGCAGGAAATGTTGAGCACATTCAATTGTTATCCAGATCAGGCGTCAAAAACTTTACCGTTGAAAAACCACTGGGATACCGAAAAACTGCAGAATTTGGTCAAATTACAACGAAGCAGGCGAGACGATAGAGGAGAGCAATGCAGCAAACGCCAAAAAACTATTTCAGAGAGAGAAAACATCGCATTTGAATTATTGGACAATTACTTGAAAGGTTTGTGATATTTCAGTTGAGCAACTAACTTCTTTCACATTAGGAACTGATCTCCTAATATGTATCTAGCTTATAAAGGCAGATTTGGCTATATGGTCAAATTTGACCACACATACTGGCTGGCAATATATATATATAGTGTAAACAGGTTGGGCACACCCCCGCATATATATATATGGGTAATCAGGTTGAGGAAAACCACCAAATTAAGTATAATAGGCAAATTTGCCTATGTAATTGGAAGTGGTAATGGAAAATACCCTGCCCGTACCGGGCTTCGAACAAGGGACCTCTCGCAAACATCCTACCACTTGACTAAACACTAGACTAAAGGGAAATTCCCGCTAGTCTTGAGCTAGTATGGTGACCTTATACTCTCCACTTTTACACTATTATTCGCCAATTGAGGTATACATTTTGTAGCTTTGTTACTAAAAATAACCAGAATCACTTTAAACTTCCCTTTTTTAATTTTTTCCTCTAAGTCGCATATATATAACCCCCCCCCCCCCCCCCCCCCCCCCCCCCCCCCCCCCGGGTAGTCATGAAACATGAACAAAATGCAAAAATAAAATTTATTTGCATGTGGGAAAGTACCAAAAATTGATGCAATACTTCCGATGGAGCAACATCAAGTTTCTAAGTAGCTGACCCTTTCGCCATTAACTAATACATTGCAAAATTTACTGTTTGAGTGATTTTTAGTAACAAATCAATACTACAACAGCAGGCGTATAATAGGGGAGCTTGCATATTATACGCAAGTTGGTGGTTTTCCCTACTTGGAGTAATAAATAAATTACTCAAATGCAGAATAATTTGAATAGAAACACGTAAATTTCTTTTATGCATTTGTAACAAAAAAGGGTGTCATCTTTTTAACATTTTTATGATTTTACAATGTAACTGTGGAACGTAAGACTACTTCTTTGAAAAGATTCGCCATGAAATAAGGCATCTGATAAAAATATGAAGTAATATGATGTGCAGTTTACATTGCTTGTCAAGTCCCATAAATCGTGGAAGTTGGAACAAAACTGCAAAAGCTGGTGGACAGTTTACAAATTACAGGTGAGGAAGACTCGCCAATCTTGAATCCATATGTTAATTTCTAAAATATTGATGTCAATAACATGCATTTCTTCTCTGAGTAATAAAATAATAGTAATTAAATTACTATATTATTTTGAAATATTTTAATCAAGCATTTCCTTTTCTTTTGATTTTTTTTGCCATGTTTACTATTTTTCAGAATTATTTTCTGCTGTTATTTGATACTGTCTGGTATATATCTTTTTGAAACTAATGCTACATATATATATATGATATCTCATATAAAATTCAGAATAGTGTATGTAAATTTAAAAAAAAACTTTTTAAATATCTAAAATCTTAAAACAAATAAAAAGAAAATAATAAATGATAGTAATTACAAAAGAACAATAAAGAGTTTTACTGTCTCATATGAACCAGGCCTTGTGTAAAACATACAATATAAACTTGGAATGTAAAAAAAGATGTGCATGCAGAATAATGTAACTGCATGGACACGCCCAAAAAAAAGATACTGCACGCAAAAAATGCCCTTTTTTGGCCAGCGCCCTGCCCTTTTCAAAGCCTAGCTGGAACACTGACAGGACGTGCAGTGGGAACTAATCCGTTTTAAGAGTGGTAACTCTTATAATCGGAAATGTTGTAAACCTTTTTTCAGATATTTGAAGTTATTTCTTCATATAATACAAAAAATAAACAATAAACTATGCTGCAAATGTTTTATTGGAGATAAGTTACTTATTTTGGTTAAAGATATTTTGATTTCACAAGGGAACATCAACATTTCAGGTGGTGTAGAATACTTATTGAATGTGTGTTTGCATGGACGACCAGTGTTGAAGTGCAAGCAAGTGATCATGAGATGATGTTGATGTTGCAGGTTTAAAGTCTCGATTTAGGTTTATTCGCGACTCTAGGTTAGTAACATCAGTCTGGGTCGAATGTTTGATGATGTCAGTTGGTGATCCCCTTCTCCTTTATCAACAGGGGCTTGGGACCGGCTATAGTGGAGGAGCCGGAGGTCTATTTTGCAAGCAAATAGTGTGACAATTTCACAGGCTTTTATAGGGGTCGGATCCTGGTATGCATAGATCTCCAAGCAGAGCACAAACTAAAATGCCGGCACTTTAAATATACAATGACCGGAACATACTGTAATCAGTGCTCCAGATAGCTTGCGTGAATACGCATTCACGTACGATATTTCACAAATTACGCAAAAGAAAAAAATGAACTTGCTTAATTCACGCAAGCAAAATCCGGAACATTGCGTCAGTCTCCGGGTCCAATTTAGCATATTATAATACGCTTACAGTGAGTCACCGAGACGCTTGCATATCAATGCCTCCTGTTACAAACGCTAACACAAGAGAGAATTAAATTATGGCGCTATCAAAATGTCAACAATCGGCGGGTTTCATTCAAAAATGATTCCAAACTTTTCTGTTTTAGCACAAATTGCATTAACCTTGTGTATAACATCAATAGAATGTGAACGATCATTCAGTGTGCAAAACCGCCTAAAGTCACGGTTAAGATGCTCTCTCAAAGCAGCAACTGTCAATACATTGATGAAAATCAACATGTTAGGACCTGAACTGACTTTGAGCCAAGAAGGGCTGTTCGAATATGGAATGATAAAAAACGAAGAAGGATATGTGTACTATTCAAACGAAAAAAATATGCAACTCATTGAGTTTTGGGTTTAAACATTTAAACACAATCACAGTGAAATGGAAAAATAATACCACATGTCAAGACAACACAAAAATATGAATTTGAGTCATTCTTAACCGTATACTATAAGAATAACACATACAAATTATTCATCTTATTTCAACATTTTCAGGTAACGTTGCTTTTACAGCACTTCATGGTTTAAAATTTAAGTTTTCACCCCAACACTTTGGAGAGGTAGGGGTGAAAAACCCCACATGTTCAAAAGTTATCTGGAGCACTGCTGTAATCATAGGGGATATCTCAGAAACAATTTCTGAATACTGAAACTTCGTGTTTATTTTTTATTAAAATCTCAATTGTTGGAAGCTTTTTAACTTGCACTGTCAGATTTAAATAAAATAAAAATGATGTGAAACCAAAACTTATCTTAACTACATGATGAAGGTGAATTACCAAGTATTGTGACCGAGCTAAGGAGACTTGATTTTAAATTTGGAAATGATGATTATATAATATGACCACTTTTCTGGAGATTTCCAAAAGCAAGGAGGATATTTTTTATCACAGTTTTGTAAATTACACATAAAGTTTTTATACGCCCGTCGAAGACGGGGACGTATTATGTTATCACGTGAGCGGGCGGGCGGGCATGCGAACAATGTCCGCTCGATATCTCAAGTAATTATTAACGGATTAACTTCAAACTTCACAACAAGGTTAATTACCATGAAACCTCGGACAAGTTCGATAACCGCCATTATCCGACCATAATTTGTGGAGTTATGCCCCTTTATGGACTTGCCGAAACAGTGTCCGCTCGATATCTCGAGTAATTATTAACAGATTAACTTCAAACTTCACAACAAGGTGAAAGCTCACACAAGTTCGATAACCGCCATTATCCGACCATAATTTGTGGATAATTTCTGTGTGAACGAACTGCAGGCAGATGTGATTGAAACCTTCTACTCTGACCATAAGATTGTTTGGATTGCATTATAACATGGTAATACTCCAATAATATAAATGACTAATTAAAATGCAAGTTTTCTGTTAACTCATTTATGTACCAGTTATGTTGAACCATTTCTCCTAAACAACAATTATTCCTAAATATTTTTAATGAATTAACTTCAAAATTTATGACAAGGTTAATTTCCGTAGAAGCTTGGACAAGTTTGATAACCATTATTATACGACCATAATTATTGGAGTTATTCCCCTTGGTTTCATTAATGCGATGCATGCGTTCCATGATGTTGTATTGCACTCATTGATTTACCAGTTATGTTGAATGATTTCTCTTTTAATATCAATTACTCACAAATACTTCATATATTTCAATCATACAAACAACTGCTCATTCAATGTGTGCCGGGCGTATTATATACCGCTCGCGGTAACCTTGTTATGTAATGATTCTTTTTAGTAAATGGTTTCTAGCAACTAGATGTACAATATAAAGGCTATGTTGCTTATTTAAAAATAAACTAAAAGCAAGATTTGAAAGATGAAGCAGATCATTAATGTCCCGTAATCTTTTGAAATTTACCAGACCGAAATGTCCTGTAAAGGTTGATCCGGACTGCTAAACATTAATATTCAGTGCAGGGCATCCAGTTGACCCTTCCATTTTAGCAATTTCAGGAGTCAAATCACTATTTTCCAGAAATCTGAAGGGTCAGAACATAATCAAGTAGACATGTCCTTTTAATCTCAAGAGTC